ACCCTGTGAATACTTTCATTCCAGGATTCTTTTCAACCCTTCATCTTCTAAACATCATGCATCATAGGCAGCACTCAAGTGCAGCAATATAAAGATTAAGACTGCTCTGAAAGAACTTCCTGGCTAACCTAGGGAACAAACATGTAAACAGATACACGTGATTCGTGTGTTGCAAATCATAATGGAGGAAGAACGCTAGCAAGGATCTCAGTAAGACCAGAAAGTAACAGGTTTTTCATTTGTTTGCACACAAGACTCTAAGTGTACAAATGAACAATTTTCACTAAAAACTTTTACCTTGAGAAGCAATCCTTTTTTCAATATCGCTGCCCTATCCTAACTCCTTTTATGGAATGACATGAAATAAAGTCCCATATAAGAAAATGCCTCACTACGAACAGGTAAATACTGTACCACCCTGTTTGCCCTTTCACCAAATTTGGTAATAAAAAACTTTTTTGGGTTGTCAGGAAAAAAAAGAATCAAACTTCTCTTTCAATTAATAAGGCCCTGCCACCTTTGAGGATATTGAAAAAAATGTGTAAGCCTCATTTACACATTGAGTGCAATGTGAATGCAATTAAAATCTAACAGCTATGTCTGCATTGTTAGAATGTGAAGCCTACCAGGGTGACTATTCAGAATGGGCAATTCTCACTTGAGTTTCACACAAGTTCTACTAGTTATGGGGGTGGGGGAGGTCTGTTTAATTGCTTCACTCTATAGATATAACTTTGATGCTTATAATTTTATTTCAGGCGTGTCTTCATCTTCCTCAATTAGCAATCCAAGCTATTGACTTCCAATTTGGGATGTGGCGAATGCTCTAAACACAGAGGTTCGTGAGCATTGGAAGGAGTTTGGGTGCTCTATATCAAGGCTCCCGTCAAAGTCTTTAATGAGGAATTCCATAGTGTTCTAAATGCTTTACAAGGAAGCTCAGGTCAGTATGAAAAGAAGCCCATTATATTTTGCTCAATACCTTAATGTCCAAGTCCTTTTAACCTGCCTTTAATAATGAGACGTAGTCTCCCCTCTGTGACTCTGTGACTAAGGCCTCGGGATACTAGCTGTTCTCTAGCTTCAGTGCCCAGTGACCACCCCCCCTTCCCGGCACTGTCTGTTCCATAGCCAAACACTTGGAAGCTGCTCCAAGGTAAGCTTCCTGGGCACAGACTTTGTTTGTCTAACTAAACAAGGTGCCATTAACACCTGTAGCTTTACCTGCTTACCTCTGATTAACCTTATCCAGGTACAGAGCTTAGGTATGACTCCCACCCAAACAACCCTTATAGGCTTTGGGGTCAAACATCCAGCAGGGAGGTGGGTGGGAGTGGTGTGAAGCAGAAGGTTTCTGACCCATTCAAAGGATCTGCTGGTTTATGGTTACACTGGAGATTTTCAATACTTTCAAATATTAATAAACAACACTCTTTTCAGCAAATTTCTCTTAAGGTGTCCAAATATCTAACTTCAAATCAGTGGCTCAGCCTGTGGGAAAGTAATGACCATGGAAAGTAAACTGGAGTCATAAATAGAGATGGCTCAAATCAACTGCTGCTCTTTTTCCTCCGAAGACAAACATTGCAAGGCCATTCCCAGCAAGAGTGACTGGAGAATACTTACTTCGATAGCTTCTGACACCTTCTGCAAATACGTGAGTGCAGGCATCAGTGCAGACTCTCTGTCTAGACCCTGGTTTAGAGACTGATGCCAAACCTAGCTTCAAGAGAAGCATCATTTTGCCAGACCCCCAAAGGTCTGAAAAGGTGAGGGAAGTCACATTCCACTAATTCTGAGTCCGCTCTTATCCACAGTGGACACATTCTAAGACCCCTGGTAGACGCCTGAAACCTTGGATAGTATCGAACCCTAAGTGACTAATAGGTGCACGGTGTATACAGTGTGGATATGCCAGACACAGGAATGATTCACTGCCCAGGTAGGACAGAGTAGGATGGCACAAGATTTTAGCACGTTAACTCAGAACGGTGTGCAATTTAAAATTTATGAATTGTTTATTTCTGGAATTTTCCATTTAATGTTTTCAGACCGTGGGTAACTGAAACCAAGGAACACAAAACCATAGATAAGAGGGGGACTACTGTGCTCAAAGTGTGGTATTTAGACCAATCACTGGAGCTAGTTAGAAATGCAGCATCTCAGGCTCTATCCCATAACCTACAGAATCAGAATCTACGTTTAAACAAGGTCCCCAGGTAATTCATATGCGCATTGAAGACTGCGAAACAGCATTCTAGAACAAAGCAAAAAGGTGCTAGAATGCCCTTTTTTTATTAGGTCAAGCTATTTTGCCATGGTAAATTGGGTTTTGGAGGAAGATTTCATACCTTGGCTAAGGCAGGCCAGGTTTGCTAACTGAGGTAGAGGCAAACCAGGATTCTCTGGTTACGGACTGTGAGCTGTGCCTGCCCCATTGGACACGCCAGACAAGAAAGACTCGGCTTTAGACTCTGGGCGCTGCTAGCTTTCTTCCAGGTGGCCTCAGAAACTAAGTTACACTCTGATGCAGAAGTCCTTTCCTCTTTCTCCCAATTAAAGACCTTCAAAGAGAGGTGCATTTGCTGTGGTCAGCCAAAAATCACCCCTTTCCCAGTCCAAAGTGAGAAGTGGAGTTCCCTGTAAATAAATAGTCTCACAGGGTATTGCTTCCAATTTGATGTGTCCCCATCTAGCAATGAAATGTGTAAATGAGGGCTTCCTGAGCTTTCAGTGCCCACTCTGAACAGATCAAGCAGAGATTCACACCTTCACTTGAAGGAACCCCCAAATTGTCAGGAAAGGTCCTGGTGGACACATCACGACACAGAAAAAACAGAACAGCATGGACTAAAGGCCAGCCAGTAAAGAGAATTTGAGTCAAGAGTGGCAAGAAGAGTCACTAGGAACTTTTCCTCGGGTCATTTTTAAAAGAAGAGAGGGCAGTTCTCTCTATGCATTGCTGCTATTTCTTGTTCAGCTTGGGAAAACATTGTGTCATTGGACAATGGACACGTGCGTTTAAGTTTTGGGGCCTCAGTGCCACGTTCTGTAGAGTAAGGTTGCATGGCTGGATAAGAACATTTAAGATCCCTAATAATTCTAACTTTGTATGTTTTGGAATAAACACTCGAAGTCCTCGGATCTGGCTGTGCTCGCCGGTGGTGGAACAGCTGCCTAAGAAAATAAGCATGTGGCCCCCGATGCTGGCAGGAGATGAGGCTGCGCCCCGCCCGCACCCGTGTCTCAGTGTAGCGCCAGGATTTGCGGCTGGTTTCCAGAAGGTTGGACAGGAGCGGTGGAGGAGGGTGTCGGGGAGGGAAGAAGGGCAAAATGGGGTGAGAGCAGTGCGATGATGGGAGGGAAATGGTGCGCCACGAGGAGGATTTCATTATGCAAACACGCGGGCAGGTTTCATCAGCGCCTGTACTCCAGGGCTCCCGGGCTGGGAGGGAATGCCTGGCTCTCGAGGGCAGCCCAAGGCTGGCCCCCACCCGTGCCAGCTCAGCTTCCTCTTCCTCATCCACTTTCAGGGAGGTCACACGGTCCTCCCTCCCCCCGGACAGAAGAACGTGTTTTTCTGCACAGCTCTGCCCGCCGCCCCCCGTCCATCTGCGGAGATCCCACACGCGTAAATGGGCAATCTGCCACAGGTGCCGGCGAGGCGCTGCTGGAGCAGGCGAGCACCCTCAGTCCAAAACCTCCGTCAGAGGGTGCCTGACCCACGCCAAACTGGGGGTATTTCGGGAAGGAAAAAGAACTCTGCAAGAGTCATTTATTCCAACAGAGAATGCCCGTCCCATCCCCCCAAAAAGCACAAGCCAGGTCTTGATCGTGGGCCACCCATACCCCACCATATTACGCCTCAGAAGTGCCCAACACCCACAAGGGGCAGCACGTCTCGGCATGTGCCAGTCCTGGAAGCGTTGTCTGTTTGGGTGGTAGTGGGGCATTCAGCTGTCTCTCCCAGAAGGAGAAAACTAATGGGGCAGTTTGCAACGCGGGCGCTGGAGGACGCACCCAGAGGGCAGGGCGGCCACGAGCTCGGTATTCGTGACTCTCGCTGCCTTCCTGATGTCCATTACCCGTTCTTCCCAGTCACCGTCCAATGGGCAGTTGCCGAACCCCTTGCTCTGCCTAGTCCGTCCTCCCACCGCCCGCACTCGGAGCCCCCGAGCCAATGCCTACCTCCCGGGGTGGTGCTGAAGAGCGTGCCGCCGGGGGTGGTACTGTAGTCCCCGGGCGGCAGCTGCACGCCGTCGCTTAGGACCACCCGGCGAGTGGCCGGGATGGCCCGGCTTGGGGTCTGGCTGCAGCTGCTGCCTCCGGACATGGTATCTCGCGCGCAGCACAAGCAGCTGGAGCGTAGTCCTCCCGCCCCTCCAGCCTCGCTGCGCCTCGCTCCACCTCGCTCCGGCCGGCCCCGCCCAAGACCATCCCTTCCGCCTCTTCCTCTAGACACCCCCTGGGATTTGTAGTTCCAGCCGTGCCACCGCCCAACCGCCTCCGCGCGGCCGCCTGCACGTGGGACCTCCCGCATCCCTGGATGGAAGGCCCTCTGCCGACAGTCTCCTGCGCGTGGGTGCCAGCACCGTCCCCGTTTTGCCTGCCCCTTTCGCGCCCCAGTTCCTCCGGGCCACGCTGGCGGGGAGGCGGGGGCGGCGGGGGTTGTAGGGGACGGGTCGGGACGCTTGCCTAGGTTAATGCTTCTCTGGGTCGGGGGCTAGTCTTCCCGGGAGTCCTAGCGGACCCGGCCACTCTGGGAAGGCCTGCATTAGAACATCAGGCTGGATATTCCCCCTCGACCCGCCTTGAACCTCAGATGAGAAAGTGGAGATTGACTGATCATTCACCCCTCATTGGGTTTATTGTGCATTCGCGACGTGGCAGATGTTAAAGAAATGTCCAAGAGTACTCGGTCCACGGCTTCGGAGAGGATGTGGAAGGACACGTGAACAAACCACCTAGCTGGGTGATAGGGCTAAACCTAGAGCGAGGTGGAGCTTGGGATGAGGGGAGGACAGAGAGTTGATCAAAGAAGTTTCCTTGTACTTCTTTGAGTTGGGCCCGATGCCCCGCAGGCTGCCTGACATTTAGTAGGCACTCATTGAGTGGATGAAGGAATGACTCTTCAAGGAGATCCCTAAGTGGAGAGGAAAAAATGCAAGGAGGATGGAAACGCTTGCTGGGTGAAAGAACAGTTTCTGTCATTGTGGCCACATCCTGGAAAGGGAGAAGAGAGGAGAGACAGTTTAAAAGGAAAACTGGGGGAGATTGTGAAAAGTCTTTTAAATCATGCCAGGGTGTTCAGACTGTCCTACAAGGGCAGGAGGTTTCAGAGATCTTTTAAGCTGGGGAGTGACATGATTAGTGTTGTTTTTTTTAGAAAGATAACTGATGGCGGTGGAGTTTGAGAAGGGATCGCAAGAGGGTGAGGCCTGAGGTAGGTCATTCCTGAGCTAAACTGTCTAGTAAGGTAGCCTCTGGCCACACATGCCTGTGAAGCACTTGAAATATTGCTAGTCCACATTCAGAAGTGTAAAATACACACTAGATTTCAATGACTTTATATGAAAAAATAATGTAAAATATCTTAATAATTTGTTTTATATTGATTACATATTGACATATTTTGAATATATTAAGTGAAATTTATTATTAAAATGAATTTCACCTGTTTGTAATTTTTTTTTTTTAGTGGAGCTGTAAGAAATATGTATTTATGGCTCACAATATATATTTTGTATAGTGCTGCTCTAGAATGAGGCACTATGAAAGAAATCCTAAAGTTCTCAAAACCTTCCTCATGGAAAACTTTGGAATCATCAAATTTTAGCCCTGGCCAGGTACCTTATAGGTTATCCAGGACAATATTTACCTCCATCTTATTTAAAAAAAATAAAAACAAAAGCAAAACCCTGAAGCCCAGAAAAGAGCAGGGGTTTTTCCAAGAACACATAGCAGTGAAATGGCTGAGGCAGGACTAGGACTCGCACCTAGGACCCATCTCCCTTCCAGGCCAACTCTTTTCTCACCACATTAGAAAATAAAGCAGCCCATCCTCCTCCCTTGAGAGGAACCGTTTTGAAAGGGAGTTTGCTCTGGTGTCTTATCAGAGAAAGGAAGAGGCCTGCTTAGAAAGCTTGACACTCTCAATGACTTCTGCACGCAGAACTGTAGAGAGCTGATGAGGGGAGTCTAAGGGCTGGAGTGGAGCCAGAAGAGTGGAGGCTGATGATACCTGGGGACCCTTGTGGATATAGAAGCAGCACTAGCCTGGGCTGAGGGCTATGAGTTCTAGCCCTGGAGCTGCCAGCAAACAGTTGTTCAGTTTTGGACAAGTTCCTTTCTCCTTCTGGGACTCAGTTTCATCATCTGTCAGATAAGGGGGGTGGTTTGGAAGATCTCTGAGAACCTTCAGCAGTGACAGTTTATGTCTTTGACAAACATTGCTGAATTCTGTTTCCTGCCCAATTATTTCACCTATGGTGATTTCTACCACTTTGCAGAGCAGGGACTCATTCATACCAAATCTTATAATCAGTATTAGCTCCTGTAGGGGAGGGATATGATGAGAGTTGTCTTTTAGAAAGATAACTGGTAGCACGTGGCATGTGTTTCATCACTCTCACCCTTGACAGCACTTAGTTTAGAGAGGCTATTGGTAATACTTTTGGGTGCTCAGCTGCCCAAAGCCAGACTTGGTTATTTCTGTCTTTCCCTTTGAGGCTCTTTTAAATCTATTAGCTTATGACTGTTCTAGCACTTCTAGCTTTCAAAAGAAAGAAAGCAGAATGTCCAAGGAATGTTTTCTAGAAGAAAGATGAGGAGGGGAACACAGAGTGGAGAACAGTTTCCATCACATCTTACTCTACTTAACCTTTAGGGAGGGAGGGACAAGGAACTGATTTTATAATTTTAAATGGAATTTCTCTGGGTAGCCAACCAAGCAGACAGGCCCAGTCCTTTTTATTATGAAATGCTTTGTGAGGTTAACAAAAAATATCAGTGGAAACTAAGAACAGTCCTAAGCAGGCACTGGCCCTCCCTGGTGTTTGTCTCAACACAGCTCTGCTGAACTAGACCAGTGTGGGAAAAGAGTGCCAAGAGAGGGTCCCCAGGAGTGGCTGCTTGGTGAGGAAGTAAGAGGAGCCACAAGAGTAAGAATGCTTCCAGATTCACTGAGTCATACTTCAGTAGAGGCTGACTTCCAAAGCCCCTCAGGCTAGGGAGGAATAGAGGGGTAGGGGAGATAGTGGGAGAGAAGTGATCTGGTGTGTTTGTTTGAATCCTTTCTTAATGTTATTTGATGCTGAAAATATCCCCCCTTCAATACTGGGAGTCCTTTACATTAGCTAGCACGTCCTGTCGCCATGGCCCTAGTGGACTTTGGAGGCTCCTGTACTTTCCCGTATGATAAGGGATCCTGGGCTCTTCTTCTATACTTCCTGCCCCAGATACAGAGTTTGCCTTTCTTCTGGAGCTCTGGTTTTCATTTCAAATAGATTCACAGAATCACTTCATGAGGTCGTGCTCTCCTTCACTGACAGGCATACAGGCCTGGTCTTTCTGGTAGGAAATGTTTTTTGAGAGTAATCGACATAGTTGGAATGAAGACTAGCCCCAAGCAGGCCTGGAGGGGCCTGGTGGACTTGGTGAGTGGTTTCATGGTCCTTATCCATCTTGACCTGGTTAACAAGTTTGTCTCCTTACACACTCTCTCTCTCTCTCTCTGCTATTTTGTCTTTTTGGATAGCTCTGCTTGCAAACTCAAGCCGTTGACTAATAAATACCTTCATGCTTCAGCCCCATGGTGTTCATCAGCGGTGACACCATGATTCTCAGTTCTACTTTGCCTCCCATAAACTCAAAGGCAAGGCTATTTCTCACAGTACGAGCTATTTCTTTTCAACCATAGTTTGCTATTCTCTAGTCAATGGAGAATCTGCCTGTTTCCTTAACATGTCTTTTCTAAATGATTGAATCTTGATCTGGGACAGAAGCCTTTATTGTACAAAAACGCCATCTTGTACAGACGTCTGTAAAGATCATGTGGCCATGACCA